CTAAAGCTGAAATACACTTACTTGAATATAGTAAATCAGATGAACTTTATCATGCTGAAGCCTGGGGTACTGTAAAGAATTCTGAGCAAATTAGGAGAAAGAGAGGTCATTAGCACTGGTTTTAGAAAATGAAGATTCATAAAATTCTCTTGGATGAAAGATGCTATGATTTAAACAAAATAACTATGACATCTTGTAAAAAATGTTATAAATGTACACCTTGTGTAAAATCGGAAGTATGCTGTAAGATAGCATAGAGATAACTCAGTATAGTAAAGATTATATATTCCTGGGTTCTTGGGTGTGTTCTGGAATCCTCTGTGTATTATGTCACAAGGACTTCTTCCAAATATGACATTGCACATCATGCAGACAAGTATATGTGAGCCAGATGCAATGCACCTGTTTCTTATAACCTAAAGATTTAAATACAGCATAGTAGAAGATGAATACAACATCTTAATGTAAGTTCATTATTATTGGTATAAAAATTTGTGAACACCAATTTTTGTTTTTTAAAAAAGAGAGAAATAGAAATGACACACTTTAGAGTGAGAGGCTCCATGGTGGCCAGCTGTACTTGAGCTACAAGTAAACAAAGATTTCATACAATTCACATTATGTACCAAACCAATCGCAGGTCATTTGTGTGAAACTGGCATATAGTACTGCTTATGTGGTTGTGGGTATTCAGTTTGTTATTATGCCCTTTCAGACATCACCCTGGTATTAAATATAAATGTAGAACAGATCACTGCATTTGAGAAATACCATCAGTAAACACAATAAGAAACAGTTTAAATCCTTTTGGTTGTTGTTTTGTCTTGGCTTGGTTTGGTTTGGTTTCTAATTATAAAATATTACAAAATAATATACCAAACTAAGTACCAATATTGATGTAATGTAGAGAAAAAGAAATTTCTTCTCCAGTTTCAGAGATTAATGGAAATTTCTTTTCACAACTAATTATTATTGAATAATCATGTTTAATTTTAAACTTATAGTCTGAGAAAAATTTAGCCAGATACCAGTGCAAAATGAATATCTTACCATTATTAAGAAACATATCATGAAATAGTTTCTCGAAAAACCACTTCCTTTATCTCAATATGAAGGGTCAATTATTTTTTTCCCTGGAAAGAGGTAAAATGGATCTAATTCTTACATTTATTTGGATAATCTTAGATGTTCAAATACTTTAAGGAGTCAAAATCAGTCCAGAGCCACTAAATACCTAAGGATTTGGAAGGTGATCAAATTGAGAGAATGAATCACTGCTGTCTCAAGATCTGCTTTAAAACTTCTGCATCCTTTCATTTACTGTTAATCTCCTCTCACTTTTACAATCTGTTAGATATAACATTATATGGATACAAGATTAAAAACTTTCTAAGCGCACTTATAATGTGTGTTTCCAAGATGATATTTCCCTCACACAATCAGAACATTTTTTTCAAATAGTGATATGAAAAACAGTGAGGTGGAATTGATTTGTATGCACTGTGAAATTGTAGAAAGGACAGAAACTGAGTCAGAAATGCTCACTTATTCCAAATGGCAAAGCCATTGCCAATTGTAACCATTTCTTCAGATCTTGATAATGTGTGTCACCCCATGAAATAGTCCATCTTTGTTACCTGTAATGAAATTACTGTCTTGAGTCTATGTGTTTCTTCACATTTGGTATTTGAGGACAATTTATGGATACTTTTTAACTTTAGAGACTCCCTCTTGGGAGAGGCAAAACCAAAGCAGGATTATCTAAAGCCTTTGCGTGCATAATCGAATGCCTGCAGGTGTCTGCTAATGGCCGAGGACATTTTACATTCAACTTTGAATTTATTTATATATTATAGGATCCAGAAAAGTATGTCTGGATTTTAACTAAAAGTATTGGTATTTGAATAATCTCAAAGAGGTATTATTATTATTCCCATATTCACTGCCCCATAAATTGAAATACCCAAGATGTAGAAACAACCTAAGCTATGTATTAGTTATTAATGAATAAATATAAAGTAACTTACATAAACAATGGAATATTAGCCATAAAAAGAATATCCTACAATATGCAATAACATGGATGAACCAGAATAACATTATGCTCAATGAAATAAAATAATCAAAAGTCAAATAATGCAATGACCTACACATGAGATAATTAATATATGCCATAGAAAGCGTGAAGCTGGTGGCAAGAGCCAAAGTTTGTAAGAAATGAAGAACTTCTAAGCCAGGAGCTTGGACACAGGGCTGTAATCCCAGGACTTTGGAAGGCTGAGGTGGGAGAACTCAAGTGTGAGACCAGGTCTCAATAAAAGAGGGGAGGCAGCCAGTGCTGGGGATGTGGCTC